CTTTGGACTTTGCTGATAAGAAACTAGGAATAAGATGGTTTAGCTTCTTATAGGACAAACTGTTCACAAGAGAAGGAGGCAGTTCATATGGGCTTGACATCAGTCTTTTCCAGAAGAATACATCAAGATCTGAGAGAATTCTAGGGAGAAGAAGTTGAGCAGTGAAAGAGCTGGCTGGTAACTAAAATAGACTAGATGACTTTAATAGCTGTTGAAGTTAGACTATATACTATTGTTTTCTATCCAGAGTAAGGTTGGCTTGTAAATCTAAAACAGGGATGAGCAGTTGACATTAATCAGGATTTAAAGGCACTGAATGAGACTTGACCAATAGTCACTGAAGTGTTCTCAGCAACTTTGGGAAAAAGAATAGTGAAAGGAAAAAAAACACTGTGAGAAGACACAGCCAGATGACCCCAAAGTTTGACTGGTGTTGAAAGAGACCAAAAATAAGAATATCATATATATAACTCTTCCACCTGAGAGCAGATAGTAAAAACTCAGTTAATTAACTAAGCCCTTTCTTAGACTTACGAACAGGAGTTGTACAAGGAATTAGTATCTTGGAATTGGTGAATGTTTTGTTAGGGAACCAACATATTTTAGGGTCACATTATATAGTGCTAAGACTTATTTAGTTAGAATGCTTTTGAAACCAAATGCAAGTCTACAGAAAAAATACCTTATTGTGTCAGGCTATAAGTTGGGAGGTGGAAAATAAATGGCTAAAGAATGCAAAAAATATCAATTTTGAAACTGGTAAAAAGTCAAATTATCTCAATATTCTGAGGCAGCTTGGCTTATATCCCACTTGCTTATTTCTGTCTTTGTCTTGAATGAAATAAGAGAAAAAATTGGAAATGATCTTGACCTGTCTTTCAGATCTTGAACCCCTATCTGCACAACCCCAGATCAATGACCTTCTAATTTGATAGGGGTGGGGAACTATGGTCCTTTTGTTGACTTTAACTTGTTGACTTCAACTCCCAGGTCTGCTCCTTTGAAGCAGGCATTTACAGATTCAGTTAGGGCTATTGCAACAGTCAATGTATCTTGACTTCCTAGGCTGACAGGGCTTGGAGCATGTATATAGTTCTTAGAACACATAATGTATAGGCTTCCATTAAGCAATATTAACCCTACAGTTATTAACCCTAGAGTTATTTTTTCATGACATTTGTTTTTAAATATTATGTATAAGGTGAAGCAGAATTCAAAATACTGCACTAATCAATGGAAATTCAAAGCAAACAATATTTTTAAATGTCATATCAAAGTCAGAGTTAGGGTTATTATGTGCAATTATGAAAAAAAGAGCTAGAATCAATAACTGCAAAATCAAAATAAGATCAGATCGTAATAATAAGGGAAGAAACTATAAAGATATTTTTCCTCCCACACACAACAGTTCTATAATGAAATGCAGTGGTTCTCAGTGGATGTTTGTAAGTTCCAAAATGTGGATCTTTTTCTTCTATATATGATGCAAATCTCATCTACTGTGAGCCCAAAGTGATTCAATTGCTGGGAACTTTGATGTCTAGCTGCTCCTGAAAAATACCATGTCCGTCTACAACAAAGGTGTTTATAATCTAGTGATGATGAAATGGACAGATCTGGTATATATCGTTGAGATCTAATTAGGTGGAGACGGAAAAATAGTACTGCCTGAAATCATTTTGATTGGGTTTTAGGTCCTGTAATTACTGGTTTGGGAGTTGAAGTCCACTAGTCATAAAGGGACCACACAGTTGATTCACATTATGGTATTACAACATTGCAGAATTGTTTGTTGTAAGTCAGCCAGCCAGAAATGCTCTCTTTGTGTTCCTTTGCATCCCATTTCTGCCTCATATTCTCCACCAAAAATCCAGCCAGCATTCCTGCCTTGAACTCTTATGGGAACATTTTATTTTATTATTGTTTATTTTATTTTATTTTAATTTTTGGTTTGTTGCTTTGCAAACCTCAGGAGTTTTTCTAAGATTGCCAATAATCTTCCTCTTGTGTATGGATGGCACCATATGGATCCACACCGGGAGACTGCATTTGTTATTACCACATAGCATGATTATATCCTGTTCTTATAATTGAAACCTCCTGGAAGTATTTTAAGCCTTGGTTTGCACAAAGCAATTCTGACTCAGTATCACTGTCTTCACTTCACTAATACATCAGGTTCATTCTCCCCCCCCCCCCTACAAATGGGACAGGAAGAAAGGGTGGTTTTCCACTCTTTTTAGCATATATGAACTTGGCTTAACATTAATTCTTCTACCTATCCCTTTCACTGACTTTTATTGAAATGCTGCATGCATCAGTTGGCATATGTAACAGCTGGAAAAAAGCAGACAGGGGCTATCACAGGGCAGAAATGCTCATTAGTTTTAAGCGTTAAAAGAAACTGTTTTTCAAAGTGCTACTGAAGCTAAACAGTTGGGTTATCCATCTAAATAACATCAAGTTTGTGTATTTTCTTCCTGGGTTTTGAAAATCAGGAGGCCTGGGGGAACAATTATTCAAAAACCGGGCTCCTAGAAGAAGTTCAGACAAAAACTACAGATAGTTTCTGTGTTTCAAGAATCACCCAGGTTAACTCTTCCCACAGTATTTATAGCATGCGGTACAGATGCACAAAGCCCTCTGCCTCACTTTCCTCTACTTCCCCCATTTTCCCTGTACTTTTAGACCTGAAGATTCAGGCATCATTTGAATAGAAAGCTATTAGCTCTGCCTCGTCACCCCATTTCCAGGGCACTAATAACTCATGCCATGGTCTTTCCCTCACATGCTGCCTGTCGGCTTTAATAGCTTGACAGATCTGGCAATTTGGCTTGTTCCTCGACATGCTGATTCAGGCACAAAGTTTTAATAATCAGTCACATGAATATAAGTCCTTGCACACAAGCACTTCCTTCGTGAGCAGGTCTTCTACTGGTCTGGATATTAGGGGAGCTTTGTATGAAATCAGGAAGGAAGAACGTGAGGCTATTGCAAGAGGGGAACTAACACATTCTTGTGAGCCAAGAAAATGGCAGAGCAGGAGTATCGAAGAAGTAATTAAGACAACTTGCAAAGTTACATGCACATTACATGAACCTACTGCAGTAGAGCAGATTTCTACTGTGGAGTATCAATATGGAAATATAGGATGTATGGAAGATATTCCTCTTAAAGAAATGGCTATGTCTTTATTACACAATGGAGCACACAGAACAAGGCAATCCATGATATTGCCAGATAAAACAGCTCTGATTGTAGGACTGGAGACATTTGCTGGAACTTCAAATTATGCTGTCAGGAGACAAGAATGTTTCAGAAAGGCTGAAACTGACTGAGTTTATTAATATCACCGTATTCATTCAAACTAAGTCAATTCATGTTGCAATGGGGCCGATCCTTTCCTGTGTTATAGCCTGCTCAACATTCATATTTCAGTATAGCATGGTTGCCAGATTCAGGAGTGAACTTAAATAAAACCCTGAACTCTTTTGAAACTAGGACGTTAGGAACTTTTCCTCAAAAACTAAATTCTAAACAATGCCATCTTTCACTTTCTCTATGCAGTTCTTCAGTTAGGGTTTGCATCAACTGTATTTCCCTCAAGGACTAAAGAAAAAAATGGACTTATTTAACAACTACAGCATGCAGGTTTTTACAAATTACAGTTAGTTCTTCCCACTGAAATGGGCTATAGGTAGTCCTTGCAGAGACCATTTGCAGTTAGGATGGATGCTCCTAAAAGGTACTTATGATCCAGTTCCAGAGTTAATAGAGGTACCCCACCCCCCAAAAGTGGCACCCCCATCCCCATTTCAGGCACTTGACAATCAGCTTGCCTTTATGGATGGTTGCAGTGTTCCATGGTCACTTGACAAGATTTATACTTTTTTTTTTTTCCTAGAAAACATCCTTTACAATTCTAAGTTGAGGACTCCTTATACCATGGATGAAGATATACACACGGACATGGACTGTCTTGGTCAATAGCAGTCTCTACCTTGGTCTGCAATAACATCTGTCTATTTCTCTCTATCAAGGAGAGCTAGTTTGGTGCAACAATTAAAAGCAGTGTAGAAGCCAGGACAGTGAGTTCTGGCTAGCTAGCTGGCTTTAGGCCAGTTAACCACTCTCAGGTCTCTATTATGAAGTTGAAAAACATTTATCATCTTCTATCGGACCAGTGTGGATAGAATGGTTACATCATGAGGTCTGAAGCTTTCAGGTTACTGGAGATTGCTCCACTACTGAGCTGGTTATTTTTATCCTCTGTTTGCCTAGGGTTGTATCTTTATATTTTTACAATATTTAATTTTTAAAGTGAATTTTATTTTTTATAGTATCATTGTAATATACATTTCAAAGGTGATTTTTCAAAAGGCAACTGGACTATGTTTTTTCTTTGAGGAAGAAGATGTTTCACTTCTCATCCAAGAAGCTTCTTCAGTTGTCAGAACTGAAGAAGCTTCTTGGATGAGAAGTGAAACATCTTCTTCCTCAAGGAAAAGACACAGTCCAGTTGCCTTTTGAAAAAGCACCTTTAAGACCACCATGACCTGGATGACTGAGAATCTCCATAGACATTGTCTTTAGTTGTGAGCCACCTTTGGTGATATGATATGTATATAGTGACATAACTTTAATAGGTAGATGATACATAGACAGATAGATATCTTCATTTTGTAGTGAATTGATTTAGTCTGCTAACAAACAAACAAATGCACCTGGAGTTGCTCTAGTAAGTGAGGTGACTTACAAATGGAGCTCTCTTTTACATTCTCAGATATATAGGGTTGAATTCAAAATTTGTATTCAACAGATTTCTACTGAAGAGAAAAGTGGGTGAAAATTTCTCCTGATTTCCAATGCAAGCCTCAGTGCTGTCTTCTGTGCAAGTGTGAGCAAAAAAAGAAACCCCAAATTCCAGCTCTACAGTATTGCCTCCTAATTCATCACAAATGAAATATTTTGGACTGAGTTCACATTCTGTCTTTTCTTACCTGAGTGTTGATTCGGATAGCGCCAATGGAAGGAATTTCAAAATAATAACCTTAAAAAAAAACACACACACAAAAGGTAATGTTAGAATTTGTTTTTAACATCATCTTTTGAACTGGTTTTCAGGACAAAATCCTGGATAGTGGATGTGGCAGTGCCTGGAGACAGCAGAAGAGAAGAGAAAGATCTGGAGAAGATAACAAAATACAAAGACCTAGGTAGTACCAATAGTAACAGGGCCCTTGGGTGCAATCCCAAAACAACTGGTGCATCAATTGAACAGCATAGGCATTGACAAATTTGCCATCAGTCAAGTGCAGAAGGTGGCTTTATTTGGAATAGCTTCCATCCTGTGACGATATCTGTAACACTGCCATACATCCAGATTTGCCTATCCCAGGTCCTTGGTAAAAATCTGATAGGTAGACAAAAATGCCAAACCCAGTCTGAACATCTGGCTGATGGTGCGATGATGACGATTAATAATATGTGGGCTTCAAACCCATGCCTGCTTTTCTAGCACCAGTGCATCCATTAGGCCCATTTGCTCTGATCTCTTCCCAGTCCAACTTTTGGGAGCTGTGACCCTCATTGCCTCCAGCCCTTTCCCACCTCTCTACAGCATCTACCTCTGCAGTTACCATGTCTGTTTAGCAGTCTACCTGTGCGAACTTTACAGTTTTTTGTTTATTTCTCTCTGACCCTTCATTTACAGAAAATTCATCAGCAATAAATGACTTGATTTGACATTATATTTCTTCAATTTTGTAAACAGGGAAGCCAAGATAGTTACAGTCACCAAGACCTAAATGCCAAAGGGCTGATCTAGAAAGATGCAATAATTTATCTCCTCCATTTCAGTTCAGGTGACCGTAATTAGCAATTTTAGAGAAAAAAGCAGAACTCTCCAAGAACCCAAATAAACTTTGTTGCTACAACCTTGAGATCTACTGTGGACTGAAAGCTGCTTAAACTGTATGGTTTGAACTTTTACTGTACAGCTGGGGCTATAGGGAAATTACTTTAAGACTGGGAGTGATGATTGTTCAGACTTAGAAGTGGTTAGATGATAATGTCATATTACATTGAAACTGAATTGCCTCCAAAAATTCTCCAGATTGTTATATGACTGAATATTAATGGGGTGTAAATCATGCATTCAGCACAGAATAATCTTGTAATCAAAGTAACATAGAGAAAAAGAAGAATGAAATCATGTGGAAAAGGTTGATCGGGAGAGTACTAACCATGTCGCCTCAATTGTTAGATAGAATGAGGGATTAAAGTATAGGATGGGGCGAAACCATAGAACCTTAGAACCCAGTCACACATTTGTGGTGGTATTTCTTTTTCCTTTTTAAAATTAATGGTGGCAATGACTGCAGTCTCTGAGTGGCAAATTGTTTCCATTCCCACTCCTAAACCCCAAGCAATGCAAAAGTATCCCAAACTGTTCTGAAAATTTCCAAATTGTTCTGAAAATATCCACAGCATGATTCTTCCTAAATCAGGAAGCACGGTGGAAATGGTATACAAATCAAAACAATCCCATGTGAAAGATTTGGAGCTACCTCAGCTGGAGATGTGGTATTTTTAAAGGTCAGGAGTCAGAGTTTGACACCTCCTCTGGTACCCTAAAAGTTTTCATCCCACATCAATCTCTATTTTCTATCCTACTTGATTGCAGTTTCTAAATAGTTCTGGAATGACTTGTATCTGGCCATGGGGCTGCATGCAATTCCTGAGAAAAAATTGTGGTGCTTAGCGGGATGGATTGTAAAGTAAGAGTGGTTTCTCCTGAGTTCTTGGTTCTCTTTTTACAAACCAGCTCTAGTCACAAAGATTTATATAAGTTGTAACAGTCTCTCCTTGTTTAATCTGCATGTTTCCTTTTTGTTTACAGATTTCTTTCTCCTGTGATTAAAAGCCGGAAGTATTATGACAGCTTTCTCCATCCTGATGCTTCCAAATGTGCCATCTAACTAATATAATAATGGAACATCTATTTTATAGAAAACTTTTCTTTCTCAAGATTTCTCTCCTCTGCTCTTTCTTGCCCACTCAATCATCTTGCACTTCAGGCAGCTTCTGCTGTGCAACAATAGAGCCATGAGCTTTCCCTTCCTGGCATTTTGAAACAAGTTGGCTCTTTTTATTCCCGAGAAAGTTATGTGGGCAGCTTGCTATCAGTAACAATAAGATACTTCTCTTTTCTAACTACCTATACCTTTCTCTCTCTCCTTCAGAAGTTCCTGCTGTTGACAATGGAGCTTTTCCTAAGTATGATGTCACTGTTGCTGTCCAAATATCTTTGATGTCAAAAACCCAGACCTGGGGGATCAGCAGCGGGAGATTACAAAACTCTCAAGAAACAAAGGGTTTCCTCCTGCTTCACATGCCCTTCAGAACAAAGGCTGCAAGAACAAAGCAGCACACAGAACCTTCAGTCAGAAACAGGTGGGCTTTTAAAGAGAATATGGAAAAAGGAAGCTGAAGGGGTTCATATATCTACAAATCATTAAAATAAGGAAGTCAACAAACAAAACAAAACAAAACAAAACATCCACGGGGTTTAAATAATTGTCAAAATGTCTCTCTTTTCTAAAATTAAGCTTTTGCGGGGGGGGAACTAGATGTTACAGTACATGAGGTTCTTATTAATATTCTTATTGAGAGACAGGGAATGAGCATCAGGAATTTACATGAATAAACAGTAAGTAAATATCTGGGGGTGGGGGGCATTGAAAGATGAGCGACAAACAAACTTAATAAACAAAATACAATAAAAAGTAGTGGCAGAATAAAGATGAAGGAACCATATTCTCAAATTCTCTGCTCAAAACGTATGATTTGTAGGTTCCTGTTCAGTAAAAATCTTCACGTCAGTTGCACACATCTGATGTACTTGAGTTTAATTTAAGTCAAAGTGAATTTAATTTCAGAAATGATTTATAAAATGCAGTAGGTTTCCATTTGTGTCTTTTAAGATACCTTAGAACCTAATCCAAAGGTCCACTCAACTAATGTCTGTTGGGGACAAATGACTGTGTTTAGTATAGAACAATGGCTGGAGATTCCGAGAGTCACTGTGCCAACTCATCTGGAAATCCCTGGGTTGATGAAGCCTGGTTTAATATTAATAATCAGTGAAAAGATATTTCAAAGATCTTGAAATAGTTTATTGTGACTTCAGTGACATCTTGGAACACAGCAACAAAAGGACCATTGAATCAATTTTCATCCTCACCTTCAAATAACTTGGAATTGTATTAACATCAGTTTCTAGGTTAATTCTGGTAAGCCTTGTTCTATACAAATTAATTAATTCAGTGAAGCAGTTGATAGCTGTGTTTCTTCAAACTTGATTTTTAAAAAGTTGAAAGCAAACCTTGGCAATTGATTCTGATCCTGCATTACTTGACCATATGAAAAAAAAAATGGATTGGCCAGAAAATGGCAGCAGCTAATATAAATTGAGCAAAACTCTTAGAAGTTTCTTTTCACCAAGCTTCTCTACTTGGATGTAGTGGCAATCAAAACACTTGCAGACATACAATGATGCATGATGATGGCTGGAAGGAGGAAGAAATACTTAAGGCCTAAAAGGGAGAGTAACATTAGAATTACAATGAGAATTAGTTGCTACCTGCACTGCTGATCTGAGATGGAAAAGGACAAGGGAGTAGAGTGGATAAAAAGAGAGAAGTGGGCACTTGGCTATTCTGTCTAGAGGCTTTTCCACAGGGCAGAACAATGGGAAGATGGATTACTGCCAGCCCAAAGGTTCACAGACTTCCACCACCTGCTGAAAGATACAGACTGTGTGAACAGAAAGCCAGCCCTGGGGAACAAAAGGGCACACAAGGCAATTTCAGATAAATGAGAGACAGCAAGAAGGTTTCTGATACAGAGGAAGGTGAGGAGTTTAAAAGACTGTCTGAATGTAACAAGCCTTCAGAGGAGTAGGTGGGGTGGGGAGCAGCTTCAGAGACCTTATAAAGGGGTCTGTGGTCACATTAGTTATCAGGCGCAAGAGAGGAAATGAGCTAAGGGATAATATCCCCGGACCCGCTAACAGTATACGGGTTTTTGTGTATTACCAGACTTTCATTTGTGTAATTCACATCCCTGCCATTTTTTTTACACAAAGTGTGAGTTCTATTAATTCTGGTAATGGCACCTTCCACATATGGCTCTCCTGGATTCTCCTAGAATTCCTTCTTTTCTCAAAAGAAACAAGCCAAAGCCGAACCTCCTCCCCATAATTCAGTTTAAGGAGCAAAAGATGAAACTGCTGAACCTTGGTGTGGAACTTCCTTTGTCTGGAAGTGCTTTTCTTATAGCTCTTTTTCTACGCTCCCCTTTCCCCCGGAGAAAAATATATGCCCTTGTCAATGACTGGTATATAGCTGGTGAATAACTATTTTCCATGGACATAGAAAGTAGGACCAGAAATAATGGGTTTAAGTTGCAGCTACCTAGACTTCAAAGTATTAGAAGTATTAGAAAAAAACTAATTTGTACAATTGTGGAAGAGTTTACTTGTGGAAGTTGTGGGTTGGATGGAGGGTATGAAAAAGGGGTTGAAATTACCTCTCATGGGTAATTTAATTAATTTGCTTATATATTGCAATTAGTTGAAATCCCTTTCAACTAAATAATATTACCATTCTCCTAGGTAAGATTATCTGGAAAATAGATAAGCAATAGTGCATTAATCATTTAATCTTTCAACATGGAACATCCCCTTCTTCTGTTCCCTCCAGATGTTGTCCAGATTTATTAGGAATTCAGCTCCCATCATCAACAGCCCTTCATGAAAATACAGAAGGATAGCTGTGACCCAAGTAAAAAAGGGCAAGTTGCCCCACTCCAATCTCTGGAAAATAGCCAGCTAACTTTTGACCAGCAGAGGGTATGTCCCGTTCCCGCACTTTATACACTACAGTAAGAGAAGGCGATTTTGCTCCTGAGCAAAACCGAATGTTTTGAAGAAGAGGCAGGATAAGGCAACCTACCTTTATTAGCACAAGCCATCCACTGCAGGGGAGTGACATCATAGTTATGCTGTCCAACAGAAAAGGTGAATACTCGTACCTGGAACAAAACAACCAACAGATAAGGCGGATGTCTACCAAAGGGAGTAAAAGAATACATCAATCCCATACTCTATCCCATACTTAAATGGCTTCATTGTAAACTCTTTTAAATGAAATTTACCAATATGCTAATTCAAATATTAGCAAAAACTCCTATGACATGAATAGGACAATGATGTCACATCTGTCTGTATGACCACTAGTCAACTTATTTCCTAAAATATATATAAAGACCTGCCGTTCATCCTAAAAATGTGAAAAAGGCTTACTGTATCTTAAGAGATGCTGCGAGGGGTCTAGGACAACTCCGCTATGGCCAACTTGCCACAGGACAATTCGCCACAGCCAACTTGCCATGGGACAACTTATTGCAGGACAATTCAATGCTGTATTAATAATTTCATTCAGTTATTTTAATTATTGGTGTCCACATTTTTGTTGAAATTATTGTAACTTTTGTATTTCTAGATTGACTTTCTTTATTTTATGGCCACGGTTCCATTGAAATTAATGTAACTTTTGCATTTGTTGAATTGTCCTTGGGTGCATTGTCCCAAGGTGAGTTGGCCGTGGCGAGTTGGCTGCAGGGCTTTGTTCCATTCCATGCTGAGAGCTGCTGGAGGTCAACAAGGAATGAATCTAACCGAGCATGTACTGGAGTCCCTGATAAGGCCTAACTCATGGCAATAAGAATGAAAAACATCTAGCCTTTTCCAATATCATGACTATAGCATTCAGCAAAGCTCATCATTGTGATGGTACATGAGTTTTCAGAGCCATGGGCTCAGCCTCTCCGGTTAGATCCATGCAGGTTAAAAAGGTTTCCCAGGAAAGGATATATGGTGGCCTTTGGTACTAGAAAATGCATCTTTAAGGAAGGGGATGATCCTGCTGATAATATAAGAAGGCAGATGTTTGACTTTTCCTCAACTTCCACTGTCCATTTGATTCCTAACCACGTTAGAATATAGAACATAGAATAACAGAGTTGGAAGGGACCTTGGAGGTCATCTAGTCCAATCCATTGCTCAAGCAAGAGAGTCTATTCCAAATATTAGCCTCTAGCTAGGATTAAACTCACAGTCTCCTGATTGTGAGGCAAGAGCTTCACCTCTAGGCCACTGCACCTAGCTTGTTGAGAAGATTATTGTGTTGTAGCTTCAGAAAACACTGGAGGAAATGGACCCATTTCAGTTGGGTTTTAGGCCTAGATATGGACCAAAACAGCACTGACTGAACTTGTGAGCAGTACAATTATCCTTGTTTTTCTTGACCTTTCAGCAGCTTTCAATTTCATCATCATGGTTTCCCCTTCTACCAGTTCTGGGTGGTCTAGGGAAAACCATCTTATTTATTATTGTTAATTTATTGCTGATGAGTTATTCTCAGTCACTTTTTTGTTTTTCTTGCATTGTTTTTCCTCTCTCTTGTTATATTGATGTTTTTAATTGTATTTGCCTCCCATAGTTCTTTTCATGAGATGGGCAGACATATCATTGAAATAAATAAATAATCTTAGGCACAAGTGTCTCTAACCAGGTATGCTGAAGAAGCCATCACAGAGAACCTGCTGGGTCTAATGGTTAAGATACCAAGCTAGAAAGGGGGAGACTGTGAGTTCTAGTCCCACTTTGCCATGAAAGCCAGCTGGGTAACTTTGAGCCAGTCACTCTCTCTCATCCCAACTCACCTCATAGAGTTGTTGTGGGGAAAATAGGATGATGAAGGTGTGTTGGATATATTCACCACCTTGAGTTAATCATAAAAATACTAAAGACAGGATACATACGTGTGTGTGTGTGTGTGTGTGTGTGTGTGTGTGTGTATACATATACATATCAATTTTAAAGAGAGTACTGTGTATTTCATATTGCTTTGCTAAACTTCTTATGAGAGAATAGTACCTGATATTAGTATGGATTGAAGAATATTCATTGTAGTTTATAATCCTCTGTTTAGGAGCTTATTTTTTGTTAATTTGAATATATATGACACTCTCTGGGATAGATGTACGAAAAAAGGACCGAAAATGCAAGAGCATATTGATTTGATTCCCCAGCTCACTAATTGATTTTTTGGGCAGTTTTGTGGCAAAAACTAAATCATATGCAAGATGGCAATTGGCTATGCACTTTCAAGCAGCTGTTATATACCCATATGGATTGTTCCAATGAACCAAATATTATTTTATTGACTTTGGATCATATTTATGAAGAAAAAAATGGTTCTAAGCTGTGTTGCTTTATTTGTTTGTTTGTTTAAAAGATGTATATGGTCTCCCATCTATAACAATTCTGGGCTGCTTACAACAGCACTGTTCTTGCTGCTGGATGGCTTCTGTAATAGCACTGTTCCTCAGTTCCATACCAAGGAAAGAATTAATTTTCTTGGTTGTCTTACTCAGGGCTCACGTACTTCCACTTTTCCTAAGAGGAAAAATCTATTGCCAAGAAAAATAAATTTGATATATTATGGAAGGATACCCCCCCTTTTATTAAAGAGGGAAAGACCCAAAAGTCCCTTAATAATTACACAAAGTATTTCTGAAATACTGTGCATAAAAAGGAACCTACAGGAATTAGAGGCATTACAAGAGAGGAGGAGAAAAAGAAAGGAAATTCTGCCCTCCAGCTTCTCTTATTTCCAATTTCATCCTCCTTTTCTTGGAGAAGGGGAGACAGAGAAAATAGTTCCACAGCTTTTGGATGTGCCAACTTCTTGCTTTGATAATATTTATTTATTTATTTGGTTTGTCAATTGCTTACAAGATAAAAGGTATAAGTAAAAACATAGTTGTATGGCATTCAGCTTTGTTCGGGTATTTTCCCACATCATTGTAGTTGTGCTTCTGTATAGAAGCCTGATGATGGCAGATGAGATTCTGCTGAAACGTTGCTACAACTTTAAAAGCACAACTACAATGACGTGGGAAAATACCCGAACAAAGCTGAATGCCACACATGTAAGTACCCGTGAAAACTTAAGAAAACAAAAAACATAGTGATGAATACATGGATACATATAAGAAAAATAAAAAATAAATAAAAGAAACAATAAGACAGGGATGGTAGGCATGTTGGTGCGCTTATGCACGCCACTCATGATTCTATCATCCCTAGATCAGACTACTCATTTCAAATAGCCAGCTTATTTCAAGTGTGGGTGGTCAGTGTGCCCACATTAGTGAGGTGGAAGGGGCAAACTTTGTTTCTCTCTGGTAATCTCCATCTTCTTGTGGAATAGTTTTCCTCTGAGGGGTTCAGGGGGCACCTCCCTGACCTTTCAAGAGGACTAGGGTCCATACAACTTTACAGTATTATTGCTGAGGTAATTAGACTGTGAGCAGCATCCACAATGGCTCTTATTCTTTTTCACTTTTATTTTTATTCTCTATTGTTCAGTTTATTATGGTTTTATAGTTGTTTTCCTGGGGAATATTTTATGTAGATGTTCTGTTGGTTTATATTTACCTTGCACAATATTTTAAGTATACTGGATCGATAAATGTATGTTTGTTTCTCTTCATCCAATCATTACACATCTCTTGTAGAAATTGCAGAGGTAAAGAAAAGTTTCCTGTGCTTCTCTTCTTCATTCACTGGGAATTAAGGATCCAGTATAGTCTGGAGGGAATCCCTGTAATTCAGACTTTCAAAGGAGAGGCCATTCTAATCACATTGGATGACAACTTCTGTCATCTTCACTTTGCAGAATTTGAGTTCTGTAAATTGAACCCTTTCCCTGGAGCCATCTCACATTCCCAATCAATTAAGTAAGCTGAACTGGGTTCTACTTTGGACCTATTAAAATATTGGAGTCCTTCTTTTCTTGCCCTCTCTAAAACATTTCAGGTGATGTTAAATTAATCCTCATTTTCACCTTTCCAATCAACAAGTTTCCACTGTCAATTTCCATTCTCGGCTGTATACATATACTGAAATTAAATTTAGATATTGAAAAACTGAGGATGAATTTTGAAGGAATCATGACAACAGTCCTGCTTCTAATGCCCACTAGGTGTTAGTTACATTAAGACTTATACATATACAATAAGTTAGAAAAGTGAGGTTGGTTCTTTCTTTCTTTCTTTCTTTCTTTCTTTCTTTCTTTCTTTCTTTC